TAGTTATTGTATATAGTTGCAAGAATCTTAATAAAGTACTAGTGTGGCTGCTTAAGAGCAAAAAAAAAAAAAAAAAATTAGGTGAGTTTTGTTAGTCCTAAGTAGTAATTAGTAAGGGATGATAAAGAAGATGTCACAATGATAAGTATTGGAATTCTAGTGAACTTTATTAGAATAGAAATTGTGTAATATAGCAGTTAAACAGATAACCTCTGTGATTGCAAGTATTAGATAACTATAGCATGTTGCATAAAACTAGATTAGCTGTATATAGAATACAGAAGGTTCTAGTAAGTTTTTTGCCAAGGATAAACTAGTTCTAAGGGTCTCAAAAGCATCAGGTATTTTGAATAAATGTAATCCAAAAGATGTCCTTATAATCACAAGTCAGATTACATATGCAGAGAATTTAAATAGGCAAAACTTATAGTTTGCTTGTGAGTATAACACCTAGTATAGAACCTGTATAGTAATATATAGGCAGACTACTTAAATTAGACACCAAAAGTACATGTGTGGCTAGTTGTAACCTCCTATATATGGAAGCTCCTGGAAGCATCCATGTCTAAATACTTGAATAAAAAAATTGATCCCAAAGCCAAGGACTTTAATGTTAAAAAAAAAACAAATAAGTATATATAGCTGTAAAATTGAATATATACATATTAGTGAATGATATTAATAATATAATTTTTAAATATAAAATTAGTGAGTTAATATGATTTTTAATCTTTCAATACCAAATATTTTATATTTTATATTTTTGTTTAGTGAATTTTTTAACAGACTAATGAGATAATATTCAATACTTAACTGAATAAATTTATTAACTATTATATACTGTACAATGAATTTAGTTTTCTATTGTAAAAACTTACTATTTTTTTATTACAGCTTTTGTAATATGTCTAGTTTATAACTTGCTTTTTTTCTGTTTTATAATACTCTATCTGAATTACTTATTTTAGATTATTTGTATCACTGTAACTAAGACTATTTTTGTTTGTTAAACTATTAATTTAATTTTCTTATAATGATTTACTATATTAATCTCTTAAAATTTTAGTTTTATTTTGTTAAAGTTCTTTATCTCTTTGTTAATTTAATTAGAAATACCTATTATTTATTAATGTAGTTTTGGTTTTTTATATGTACTGTATAATTCTTAACTTGATTTTTCTGTTTAATTTATGTCTCTAGTTTTATTGTCTATTTTTGAGAATTAATTTGTGAATTACTTCACTAAATGCCAGCACAGATTTTTTATTTTGTTAATAGTTTTAGATCTGTACAAAAAAATAACTGTTTACTATATTGATACTTTTTGTATACTTTAACATTTTTGATTGGCTACATCCAAAATAGGCTGTCTGATACAATAGTATTAGTATAGCATTTTGTCTTAAATCAATCAATATATTGATTTATTGTTTAATTATAATTAATATATTGTTTAACCAATTATTGTTTTATTGCATAATTAATTTTTATTAAGTTATTATATAATTTTTTTACTTTAGTAATGTAATGACATATTTTTTTTTAATTAGTAATATTTAAAAGAAACAGGTTTGCTTTAAATAAAATAATTTCTGTTTTTTTTGCTAATTTGACTTTGTTTGATTTTTTTATTCTGTTCTATTCATTTTATATAGATGTTGCAGCTATATAATATTGAGTTCTGATACTCTATAGTAATGAGAATTAGTAAGTGCTTAAGTTTTTTATTTGGCTAAAAAGTTTTTTAAAATCATTTTAAAGTAAAGATAACTTATTAAAATAATAATTACTTAAATATTGTAAAATAAAATGACTTACTGAAATGCAATTATGAAAATAGTTATAATTTTAGTTTGTTGTATCTAGTACATATGTATAAATAAGGTTAGCAATTAGTAAGAAGAAGATAATTTTATTAAATTAATCAATATTCTCAAGTTTTGCACTATGGATTATATAACATAAAGCAGATGAGACAAAATACTTATAATTGTATTTTATAGTTTTTCTTGTTAACACCTTTTGATAAGAGACAAAAATATGATCAAATTATAGAAAAAAACTTGAATCACTAATTATAACAAATGAATAAATTTATATTTTGTTCATTTTAATAATTGTGTTTTAAAAAAATATATGATTAACAATAATTATTTAATGTTCAATAATTTATCAGAGTATGAAGGTTAATTTTGTTCTCTTTAATAATTGTTTTTAAAAAAATATATTATTTATTATAATTATTTATATGTTCAATAAATTACTAACATGAGTATAAAGTTTAATTCTGTTCACTTTAACATTTATGTTTCAAGAAAATATATAATTAATTGTAAGTATTTTTTCAATAAATCACCAATATGAGTATATAGTTTTATTCTATTTATTTTAATGTTTGTATTTTAAGAGAATATATAATTAATTGTAACTATTTAATAAAATTGACAGCATGAGTATAAAGTTTAATTCTATTAATTTTAAGGTTTATGTTTCAAGATAATGTATAATTATTCATAATTACTTAATTATTCAATAAATTACTAGTATGAGCATGAAGTTTAATTCTGTTTACTTTAACAATTATGTTTTAAAAAAATGTATTATTAAACATAATCATTTAAATATTCATAAATTACAAATATAAATATAAAGTTTAATTCTGTTTACTTTAATATTTAAGTTTTAAGAAAATGTATGACTAATTATAATTATTTAATCAGTTAATAAGAAGTATGAAGTTTAATTTTATTTATTTTAATAATTGTGTTTCAAGAGAAAATATAACTAACTGTAATTATATAATCATTTAATGAATTATTAACATAAGTATAAAGTTTAATTCTTTATATTTTAAGAGAATATATAATTAACTGTAATTATTTAATTATTCAATAAATCATTAGTATGAGTATAAAATCTAATTCTGTTCACTTTAATTTAATATTTGAGTTTTAAGAGAATATATAATTAACTATAATTATTTAATTGTTCAATAAATTACAGTGTAAGTATGAAGTTTAATTCTGTTTATTTTAATAAGTATGTTTTAAAAAAAATATAATTAGTAATGATCATTTAACTGTTTAATAAATTACCAGCATAACTATGAAGTTTAATTCTATTCACTTTAATGTTTATATTTCAAGACAATATATAATTAATTATAGTTATTTAATTATTCAATAAATTATCAGTGTAAGTATAAAGCATAATTCTGTTCAATTTAATGTTTGTGTTTTAAGAGAATGTATGTATAATTCTGTAATTATTTTAATCATCTAATAAATTAACAAAAGTATAAAATTTATTTCTATTTATTTTAATGAATTGATCATAATCATTTAATTATTCAATAAATTACTAGAATAAGTATGAAATTTAATTCTGTTTACTTTAAGCATAAGGATTAATGTGCAAATTGCAAACTATTGAAACATACCATGAGTAAAAGAATATATACCTATACTCATAAATCCAACTCATCACAAATCTAACTGTTAAGTTGATTGTATATTACATGACAATTCAGTTTATGAAGTAACAGAATTGCAGCAGAGACCATTAATATTACACATATATTAAAACTAATGAGAAATTATATCCATCACAATTGAATCTAACATAAATGATTTAATTTGTGATTGATCACAGGTGAAAGGAATTCACCTTGGATTAGGCACTGTCTCTGCTGTATAACAGACTCAAAATTGTTGATGTCATTAGTATTTAGCATTGTGATGTGCTACTTTTCCGTTCCTGGTTCGCACGACAACGTTGCGCAACTACTTATTAGTAATGAATTAGACTAGTAAAATTATGTGGTAATAATTGCGTTTAGTATTTGATCAGTGTAATTATGAGGTAATTATTGCGATTAGTAAATCAGAGTAGTAATATTGACGTATTTGAGTTTATTTTAGTATTTAAGTATTGTTAGAGATAACTCTATTTCTTTTGCGATCCCGACTTTTTAGTCTGGTTTTAATCAATCCCCCACCCTGAAATCGTCGGTAGAACTTTTAATTCACTGTTTTTCTTTTAAGATTGAAAATACATGACCTGTCGTGACGACAGTCATGTGATATTTTATTTTATTTTTTGTCTGAATGTCCATTTACAGGATAGAGTAGCATTACATTGTTTATGGCCTGTCGTAACGACAGTCATTTAGGATTTGTAAAAAAAAAAAAAAAATAGAGAATCAATCATGTTCGATTCTAGGTAATTTGCATGGGATGCTCGACGCGGAAGGAATAAAACCCGTATGTTTTTAGTCGTTAATAACAAGCGTATGAGAGACAAAACAAATTATTTTGTGCATTTTAGGTTCAATTTAATAATGTATTTTATTTTCAATTTAATATATGTAAATATTGTTAAGAATTATCAGTTAAGTAGCTCATTAAAATAATTCTGATAAATTTACATTTAACTTTTGAACACAATATTGTTACACTTAATAATAAGTAGATAATAAATAAATGTCATAATTAATTAACACGATATTAGCAAATAGAGCTGTTAATTGGAGTAACATTAGTCCCAAACCAGACTGGAGTGAATTATGAAATATATTTCTGTATTTGCTAAACCAGATACTGACTTAATATTCCCAGTTGGGTGTGGTTAAAATAAGATCTTATTGTTTAATTATTATTAGGAGTAGCTTTGTTTGCATAAACACGAACCATATAATAATAAAATTCGGTCTCTGATAATTCTTTTTCTGATGCCTTAAGCAACTCATCATATTCATCATCAGAAACTTTCAGTATTTTTGTTGTAAAGGATTTCAAACCAGCCATCAAGGAAATCAAATTATTAATACCCTATTTATTTGTATTGGGTTAGAGATTTTAATAATTTTTATATGAAAATAACACAATTTGATTTAGTATATTACCAATTTATCAAGTTGGATGTCATTAAACTTTGCGCCGTGACGAATTTGTTTAACTTCTTTTTTAATGTTTTCTAACTGATCTTAAATTTATAGAACATGAACTATTAATCATTTGTCTACGAAATCAATTATAACAATTAGATAAAAAGTGAAAACCTTGATTTTGTAGATATTTCTCTAACGTTTCAGGCATATTTGTATCTAAGCCTCGTTGTTTCCTAAAAGTTATTTCTTTATAACAATCATTTAAATAAATAGAACATTAGTTAAATAGAATAATAAAGATACAATGTTAAACGAGTTTGAAGTACATACGAGCCTCCCATAAACGCTGAGTAATCGGTCCTATATCATAAAGTCGTGAAGGTTCCATCAACTAATTGAAAAAATTATCAATACAATTTATTTAAAGATTAATAAATAAGACTTAATATTAATTTCAAATAAGTATACCTCCAAGAATCCACCTGGTTTTAAGACTCTAGAAATCTCACTTATTGCATATGACCAGTTTTCTTCGGTAAATGCACCGCTCATAAATCGTTGAAATACAAAATCAAAAGTGTTATCTTCGAATGGTATACTTTCTAAAACATTTACTCTAATAAATGTGAAATTGCTAGGTTTTATATGTGTTGGTTGGTGTGGAGATATATCTAATCCAACAACGTCAATCAATGGATACCTAAGAAACATTATATTGATTAATACTTTGTTAATGAGAACTACCGGTAAGAGTGTAAGAACATATTATAATAGAGCATACGTACGTGGTTGCCATATCAAATGACCACGACCCTGCACCACATCTAAATTGAACAAGAAGTGGATGTGACGTTAGACGAAGTATTTTTAATAAAACATTTGCTTCATAAATCTGCAACAATAAAAATTATTATAATGGAGTATTGAATTTGTGAATTATCTGTCAATGTAATAATTTTTTTAAACAAAAAAAAAATCACCGAGTCTCTAAAAATCAATATCCCGAAAAAAAAACCACATTTAATTCGAAAATTAAAAGAAAAACGAGATTTACATAAGGATTTCTAATTAAGGAATGAAACAACTATTCATGTTTAAAATATGTATAAATTTGAAGGTAATTAATTCATTACGTACGCACTAACATGAAGTATAATATATTGCTGTACGTTTATTTATGAGAGTAAATATGCACTATAAATCCATAGAATTCGAAATCAATTAGAAATTATTACTAATTACATACCCAATATCAAGGATTTTGACTCCTGGTTTAACCAAAATATGTTCGACGGGTGCAGAAAAATTGCTTTGCCAGACATATCTTATAAGAAAATGTTGAAGATGTAGTCTGTCTTGTTCATTTTCATCATTTGATAGAATATACATGGAACCTTTTACATTATGAAATCTTCTGCCGTCAATATACTGAAATTCAGTCTGTGTACTTTGTGAATTCATAGATCCTTTTTTTGCTCACAATTTAGAAGAACAATGACCTATATAAAGATTCTTAGAATTTATTGTCAAGAACGATTCCGAAAGTGGACATGCTAAAATTTGAGGTGATTTTATTATTAAATCCAGGGTGTCTTTTTTTATAATTGCGTTGAGATTTATGTGACATTAGGGATGGGATCAATGTGAATTTTAATGGGTTTAGATTTTCAAATCAAGACCCCAAATCAAGAATCAAGGTATTAATCTTTTTGACAATTTTAAGTTAAAAAAATACCGAAATCCGTAACTGTACAAGGTAAATATCCGATGTTTATATTGCGTAAGATGTCAAATTATAAACTTTACTGTGAACCAAACAATGAAACGTTTCCGAAATAATACATTTATATTTAACTATAGGTTCACATATAGGGTTACTTTAATTAGTTGACCAGCCACTCTATTGAGCAAGATAAAAGTTGTTTTGATTGGCTGAATATTTTATACAAATTTGAAGATTATGCACATAATAAAATACTTTATTAACTAATAAAATAATAAATAATTTATTACGTGTAGTATAAATAATATAATTATGCTATTTACGTAATTTTGGTTATTTCTAATAAATACATGTGATTTGTAAATGCGTGTATAAAATAAAATGAGTTGATATGGTTTTGTATATTTTTATAGTTGTAAATTATCTCATGATTATGATTATCTAACTGTCTATGTTTATTTTATAAATCACGCATAAGAAATAGAATAGAGTAAGTTAATATGATACAGTCAGACCTCCCTAAATGCATATTCCCTAAATGCATAGTCTATAAAAGACCTCTCTAAATGCATGGCCTTGTTTGTCCCCAACTCATATGACACTTATAGATTTTTACCTTCCTAAATGCAATATCTCTCTAAATGTAATATTTTTTGACCGCTCATGGCTATGCATTTAGAGAGGTCTGACTGTATTATTATAATTATGATTCGTTTTATAACTATGCTTCTGGTATGTTTTTAGATTATAAGAATCTGTTTATATTTATTTTGTTTTTTTTTTGCTAAGATCAATGTTTACAGTGTTTATTGTCTTTACTGTGATTTTAATTATATAATGTATTTCAGATGCAAATTGGTTCATTTGTCAATTGGGATAGTTCAGATTGTAATTTGATTTTGGATTATCAATTTTGTCTTATATGCAAATTGCAAATTATAGGAGTGTGATAATCTAGTGAAGTAAACAGATTGTCAACTCTGTTTAATGTTCAAATCTTACAGACAATGAATTTTGAAAATTATATTTGTGTTACAGTAATTGTTTCTTGTTGATTAGTTAAATTTATGTATTTGTAATCTTAGATATGTCAAGTTAGGTCTTACTTGATATTGAAAGTTTTGGATATCTATATGTAATGTTATATGTATATAAAGGAATATTAAAATCAGTTTATACAAAAAAATTCATCAACTCTTTCTGACGATTATTTGAACCAAACTTTCCAAAAAGCTGAACTACAGAAAATGATATAGTTAATATATTAAACTTTATGAAAACCTTTCTGGAGTACTGTACATGCATTGTTGAATATTGAAATAGAGTTAAAAAAGAGTCATAGCCTTGTGGTGATGGTTTAAAGAGCACTCTAGGATTATAGAAGAAGTAGTTGATGAAAGTCAAGATTCATTATTAAGTAAACAATGAAGTTAGATATATTAGTTTTATATAGTTGTAAAACCTACAAGGAACACCCACAAGGGTTAAGAACTTACAAAAACTAAAAAGTTGGTTCATCTAGCATTCTCACTTTTTTTTCGAGAAAAATTTTGTAAAAATGGACAATTCAGTTTACTTTCTCCTAAAGATCAATATGTAAAATCACCAAAACAATCAGCAGTGTTTACTTCCTAAATAGGATTGTTTATGATATTGATCAGAAATAATACAGCAATACAAACATGACTATACATATGCCTCGAGCTACTGGAAACCTGTCAAACATTGTCTCTAGACTAACCAGTATTTTATACTAACCCTTTACAATAAAGTCGAAGTTTTTTTCTCCTTTTTTGGTTTTTTGTTTAAATAATCTAAATAAATAGAAAGATAGTAGAGTAATTTCTACTTAGTATAGTTTATAATTTTTATAAGCCCAACACAGGCTTATAATTGTGGTTATTTGATATCTGTGAATTGCAAACTTCATATCCAACACAGGCTTGAAATCGTAACCATCTGATTTTTTGTGAATTGCAAGTTTCATATTTTTCTTTTTTCATATTTTTCTCTTCATCTTTTTATTTCTTGTTTTGTATCTTTTATTATTTATCCCTATACCTCTGTTTTTTTTTTACATATAAAATCTTTTTTGTTTTTTTTGCTTCTCTATGAGAAGACATCATCAGATTGGTGATATCCTATTATAGAACAGCAGTCAGATGAGCAGCCTACCTCTGCTTGAAGTAGTGTGGCAGGTCACACTTAGGTACCAATAGGGTGGCTGGGTGATGCTAGACTTAGTTATTAGAAAAATTCTCTGTAATTTGTATAGTTTCAA